ATGCAGCAGCGAGGAGACGGTTGGAGGCAGTGGAGATGTCCTGTTTAAGGGCAATGTGTGGTGTAAATATTATGCAGAAATTCGGAGTGTGGAAATTAGGAGAAGGTGTGGAGTTAATAAAAGTATTAGTCAGAGGGCAGAGGAGGGGTTGTTGAGGTGGTTTGGTCATTTAGAGAGAATGGATCAAAGTAGAATGACATGGAAAGCATATAAATCTATAGGGGAAGGAAGGCGGGGTAGGGGTCGTCCTCGAAAGGGTTGGAGAGAGGGGGTAAAGGAGGTTTTGTGGGTAAGGGGCTTGGACTTCCAGCAAGCGTGCGTGAGCGTGTTAGATAGGAGTGAATGGAGACGAATGGTACTTGGACCTGACGATCTGTTGGAGTGTGAGCAGGGTAATATTTAGTGAAGGGATTCAGGGAAACTGGTTATTTTCATATAGTCGGACTTGAGTCCTGGAAATGGGAAGTACAATGCCTGCACTTTAAAGGAGGGGTTTGGGATATTGGCAGTTTGGAGGGATATGTTGTGTATCTTTATATGTGTATGCTTCTAGACTGTTGTATTCTGAGCACCTCTGCAAAAACAGTGATAATGTGCGAGTGTGGTGAAAGTGTTGAATGATGATGAAAGTATTTTCTTTTTGGGGATTTTCTTTCTTTTTTGGGTCACCCTGCCTCGGTGGGAGACGGCCGACTTGTTGAAAAAAAAAAAAAAAATAAGTGATGATAATATGAAATGCTCTTACTAATATCTATGTTTACTCTGCATGTGTAAAGATTGTTTAAGTCTATGGGATGTGGAATGATTGGGTGCTGCAGGACTTGTCGAATGTGTCTTGGCAATGGAAAATCTGAAACAGTGCAGTGGCCCAGTTAATAGCAATAGCAATAGTAAAATTGTACACTTTTAGGACTGGCCAAATATCCAAGGACAAAAGAGAAGCTGTTCATGGCTAGTAGGAATGGGGTAGTGCTAAAAACCCAGCCATGCTCTTCATGCCACAAGCCTTCAACTTGCACAAAATCAGGGAAAGGTTATTTACTTGTACACTGACGTGCCTCTTCGAAGAGATCTAGGGTAAAGCAGTAATTTGACTTGGAAATGTAGGGTATGGCTTTGGCACAAGATACTGTAATTCCTACTATGCCCTAAGCCTTTTCCAGATCAAGAGACTGCAGTAACAGATTGCTGAGCAGCGATGGCACTGTAGACACGTGTAATAAGATGTATTATGGGGTCAATGATGGAATGAAACTTTCTGAAACCAAACTGAAGTGTGTGTGTTTTGAGTTTTGGCTTTTTAAGTATTGAATCACACATGTCATTTGTTTACAAATTGTTCCAGCAACTTGCAGTGATGGTTCTATAATGATGTCTTGGTCTGAGGGACTTTACTGGACTTTTGAAAGGAGAGGATTGTTAGTTTTCTATTTTCTATTTCAGATTAATCAGACTGAAAATAAATGTAAAGGAAAACTAGTGCTGCAGGGTGCATTGAAGATATACATGGATGTTATCCAGTGCAACTGTTGTTAACTGACAGTGGATAATGTGATGGTAAGTTTTCAGAGCATAAGAAAATGCCAGGTTCCTTAATATGGCACAGCCTAATGAGGTCAGCTCCCATTATGGCTTTTGACTGATAGAAAAGCAGGGGGAATAACCGCATTGCTTGAGAAACATGGAGGTAATGCCCTACCTCTGTGGTAACTCTGATGGGGTCTGCAATGTTTTTGTCAGCAATGGTTGAATGTGGTCAGGATCTGGGGAGCATATTCCTGATAAATTTTGTAGCTTTTTCCAGACTGAGCACAGAGGTATGGAAGTGCATTTACAGTGGACATGTATGCCTACTAATATGTTTAGTTATTCATATATTATCCACATGTTTGTCCATGCATTTGTGCTTATTGTTGTTAATAGGCTAGGAAGTGGTCTGCAGAGAAATTGCAATGACAGCAGCCCCATTTCAAACTATCCAAGTGCAACCAGGAGACTACCAGAGCACACTTAAGTTTACCTGAGGTCAGAGGGTATGTCAAGCACACCTGTAAAGAGGACAGTGGAGAAAGTTGGAAAAAAATCTGTTGAAGATTCACTAGGGCAAGTGTTAAACCCACAGGGATCATGTAAAGTCTGGGGATTGGGAGGCACAATCAATCCATGGAAAAGGAGGGCTAAATCCAGTTCCTTAGATCAAGAGCCCCAAACTGCCATGAAGGCATCTTCCATGAGGGGACCTAGAAGCTCAAAATGTCATTGGGACTTGTGAGGTGGTCAAGCAGTTAGGCATAAAAACAAAAAGTAATGATCAGAGAAAAATAATAATGTCAGGAAAATTATTTACCATCCACATAAACACTGGCTCTATGGACGAGAAGAAGATAGAAAGATCTTTACAAGAGTGAATGAGTTCAGAGATGTAGGTAAGCTAGAACAAGTGTTCAAATTATAGAGACACTGGGAAACAGAAGACTAGGCACAATGTGATACTCCCCAGGGTAAACAGGTTAAAATGACCTAATAATAAGTGTTGATAAGGAAATAAAACTTGCACCTTAGATATGGGAGGCAAGAGAAGATGGTACAAATAGCACTCTGTATTACTTGTTCAAATAGACACGAGCTGCTAGTGGAGTATGAAGGGAAGGTCGAGTAAAACAGAATATCAGTATGTACTATTAGTACACTTATATGAAATGGTGGGTCAAGTTGTCATTTGTTTCTATAATACACATCCCTCTTCAAAGCACCGAGTAATATATCTTGGGCAGTGAAGGTCAAGTGCACTGTGTCGGTGGCAAGGTCAGTAAGGTTATACCTCAGGGTGTCTAGAGAAAAAAATTGTTAATTTTCAAATAAAATTTTCTTGCAGGGAGGTTGGTTTTTCAAAGGTGAGCAAGATAATAATTCAGCATTGTCATGTTAAGGTCTTTTGGCAGATGGTCTTGAGACACTTTGCCTTGGCACAGTGATGATCTGAGATCATTGTTGCATTCTGGGGAAAACCCATTCCATGATCAAGGTAAGGTAAGGGGTCAGATGCCATTGGGAAGAAGTGGAACACTAGTAACTGATTTGGGCAATAAGTGGTGCCAGAAAACAATTCCAGGTTCTGAAGAGGGTCTGTGATTGGTTAAATGAGCTTAAAGCCTATTTACTATTTGAGGGTTATTAAGGTTGCATGTCACCTGTGCACCACCAGTCCAGAATACTTTAATCCCTAATAGAGAGATTAAAGTAAACTTTCAGCTTATACACAGAAATACACATCTCAAGGTATATATGTCAGGAGGGCCTGTGTAGGTTGGTACATAGTGTTGAAGACACTAGGTAGACAAGAGAATCAAGCAGAAAATGGAGGGAAAGGGAGGGCAGCTCAATCACCACAGAAAAAGAAACCACTTATTCAACCTAAACCATGGTCACCTTTGCTGGAAACCACCTCATATCCTATATGGTTCACAACACTAGCATGGTATTTCCAGAAATGAGTGAGGTTTATCAAAAACACCTGTTAACAAAGCACTGTGCATTCATCTTTCAGTGATAACACCAGATAAACCAGAATGAATGCCAGGAATTGTACAATGTCACCACTCCTGGATCTGCAGGTAGTCTCCAGTAGTACTTCTGCCACCAGATGCCCTGTCAGATGGCCACCTGATGTCTCACTAAAGGGGGTCATCCTAGATGCCATTAGATGATCCAATTTTCAATAGGTGACACTACTACATCAGCACTATTAACAGAAGTCATGTTAAAACAGGGTTGACAGTGACTTATTTTTTTTCAAAGTAGGAACTGAATTTCAAAAATGGGAAAATATCCCCAACAAGGCTAAAAGGAAAGAGAGAGAGATGATTTGAGGGTATTCAGATTTGATCCAAGAGAGATCTAATTTCTTGGATCAAGAATCTCTGCCACATTAAAGAACCCTCTTGAAGTAGAATAAAGCAAACACAGGCATACAAGTTAAAAATGAAACCATTTCATGGTGCATGAAAAAGATGTGAAGAACTAAGATAAAAGATATGAAAACTGGAAGTATTTATACTTTAAACTCTGCATACTTTATCCAGCCATATAGATGGAAAAGCAATAAATACATAACTAAACTTTTCAATTACTCAATTACCCGTGTCTCCACTTTCAAACCAATTAACCTGTATTATTACAAGCCTTGAATACTCATCTTTATAAATGGAATGGATAAGGATGATTGTAGAGTGCACTGAACAATGTTTCATTTGCATATTAAAGGTACAGTATTTTAATTCTTGTCCATTCTTAGTAATACTTTCTCTTACTAAGCATTATTACTTGTAGCTGTTGATCAAACCCATCACCTGGAAGTTTTTCTACCAATTTATTTTATTATCACAATTAAAAATTATTGTTCACCATGAAGATAACATTTACTTTTACAATGCAATTTGTTGCAATTGCAATTGTTCTTCCCATTTTGTTATTTTTATCTCCATAGTCCCAGAAGTGCAGCTACATCATAATTATGTACCTTTGTCACCAAAGGTGATCATCACTCCAGTCTATAAATTAACATTTGGTCTTAAAAACATTCACTGCTTTATAACAAAAATTTAAATGATAAAAACAGGTGCCACATACAGTATATTTTCAGTCGGTAAATGAAGCATTACTCCAGAAGCCTCAGCATCTCATCCGTCAGTTTCTAATTGCATTGGTTATTTTTATTCCAGGGCTTTATAGCTTCATTTATATTTCATCTTCAGCATAATTATCACAATACCCAATAAATGGGAGAATACCATTACTTCCATAAATATGTTCTTTAGCTTGTCAGCACTAGCACTAAATTCTAAGAGCAGCAGCTGTCTTCATCCAATGGCTACCCACAACTTTGTTTTAACAATACCATTAGTAAGTTTAAAAACCTCATTCTTCACCTTTTCATAAATTTTACCCACTGTTATGAAAAATCAAATCATATTCATAGTTTCTTCTTAAATAAAACTCAGTTTCTACAATAATTTATTAATCAATAGTACCTTGAGAATTTCATATAATAAATGTAATTCTTATATTGGGTTTGTCTTCATTATCTGATTAATGAGGTTTATTTACAGCCTACACTACAATCCTTCTAACCATCAAGTTGTCCGAATACGTTTAGCTTGAGACTGGCCAAGAGTGCTATGCCGCTGAAAGATGTATTTAATTTGCGATAGGTAAGTGATAAGGTCCGTAGCAAAGATGAGAGGTACGATGTCTGGCGCAACAGCACTACCCCAAGCATTCATCAATGTATTAACTTGATGCCTGAAAAGAAAAAGCTACAATTAAAACAATACAGTATAGCCATGACAAATGGAAAATTGATCAAAACAAAGATAATATGAATTTGTTGCATTTTTGACAGAACTTGCAGTCTTGGTTTATGCAGCAATAATAAAGCTAAAAAAGCAGTATACATTATTGTAATTACTCAATAAATAATTCTGAATATCATAAATTTATGTACTTTCAAAGAACGTTAATCTGAACTCCTTGGGGCTGAATAATAACAACATCTTATAGGAGTGAGGAAGAGCCAGTTGTGAGTGTGGGGGAAGTTCGTGAGGCAGTGGGTAGAATGAAAGGGTGTAAGGCAGCTGGGACCGATGGGATAAAGATAGAAATGTTAAAAGCAGGTGGGGATATAGTTTTGGAGTGGCTGGTGCTATTATTTAATAAGTGTATGGAAGAGGTTAAGGTACCTAGGTATTGGTAGAGATCATGCATAGTTCCTTTGTACAAAGGCAAAGGGAACAAAAGAGTGCACAAAAATTATTGGGGGAGAAGTCTGTCGAGTATACCTGGTAAAGTGTATGGTAGAGTTATTACCGAAAGAATTAAGAGTAAGATGGAGAATAGGATAGGAGATGAACCAGGAGGCTTTAGGAAAGGTAGGGGGTGTGTAGACCAAGTGTTTACAATGAAACATATAGGTGAACAGTATTTAGATAATGCTAAAGAGGGTTTTGTAGCATTTATGGATTTGGAAAAGGCATATGACAGGGTGGATAATGTGGCAAATGTTGCAGATGTATGGTATAGGAGGTAGGATACTGAAAGCAGTGAAGAGCTTTTACAAGGATAGTGAAGCTCAGGTTAGAATATGTAGGAAAGAGGGAGATTATATCCCAGTAAAAGTAGGCCTTGGACAAGGATGTGTGATGTCACTGCGGTTGTTCAATATATTTATAGGTGGGGTTGTAAGAGAAGTGAATGCGAGGGTCTTGGCAAGAGATGTGGAGTTAAAAGATAAAGAATCAAACACAAAGTGGGAGTTGTCACAGTTGCTTTTTGATGATGACACTGTGTTCTTGGGAGATTCTGAAGAGAAGTTGCAGAAGTTGGTGGATGAATTTGGTAGGGTGTGTAAAAAGAAAATTAAACGTGAATATAGGAAAGAGTAAGGTTATGAGATTAACAACAAGATTAGGTGATGAAAGATTGGATATCAGATTGGAGGGAGAGAGAGTATGGAGGAGGTGAATGTATTCAGATATTTGGGCGTGGACGTGTCAGCAGATGGATCTATGAAAGAGGAGGGGAATCATAGAACTGATGAGCGGTGCATTTAGGAGTCTGTGGAAACAAAGAACTTTGTCATTGGAAGCAAAGAGGGGAATGTGTGAGAGTATAGTTTTACCAACGCTCTTATATGGGTGTAAAGCATGGGTGATGAATCTTGCAGTGAAGAGAAGGTTGGCAGCTGTGGAGATGTCATGTCTGAGGGCAATGTGTGGTGTGAATATAACGCAGAGAATTTGTAGTTTGGAAATTAGGAGGAGGTGCGCTATTACTAAAAGAATTATCCAGAGGGCTGAGGAGGGGTTGTTGAGGTGGTTCAGACATGTAGAGAAAATGGAACGAAACAGAATGACTAAGAGGGTATCGATCTGTAGTGGAGGGAAGGCAGGGTAGGGGTCAGCCTAGGAAAGGTTGGAGGGAGGGGGTAAAGGAGGTTTTATGTGAAGAGGCTTGAACTTCCAGCAAGCATGCATGAGCATATTTGATAGGAGTAAATGGAGACACATGGTTTTTAATACTACTTGACATGCTGTTGGAGTGAGAGCAAAGTAACATTTATGAAGGGATTCAGAAAAACCGGCAGGCCGGACTCGAGTCCTGAGATGGGAAGTACAGTGTCTGCACTTTGAAGGAGTGTTAATGTTGCAGTTTTATAAACTGTAGTGTAAAACACCTCTCTGGCAAGAGAGTGATGGAGTGAATGATGATGAAAGGTTTTCTTTTTTGGGTCACCCTGCCTTGGTGGGAATCAGTGGACGTGTTATAAAAAAAACAAATCTTTCTTCTTTCAACGTACCAGCCGTATCCCACTGAGGTGGGGTGGCCCAAAAGAAAAAACTGAAGTTTCTCTTTTTAAATTTAGTAATATATACAGGAGAAGGGGTTACTAGCCCCTTGCTCCCGGCATTTTAGTCGCCTCTTACAACACGCATGGCTTAAGGAGGAAGAATTCTGTTCCACTTCCCCATGGAGGATAATAATAGTATAATCAGAGTGCGAAACCCAAAAGGGGAGGTCATACAGCTCTGAAGAATGGGATGTGCTAAAGAAGGAATACGTATATGGAAATCAGCCAATGTGTGTAAGAGTAAGGTTTAGTGAAGGGTTGTGCTAAAGGTAAAATATAATTGAAGTTGGGGCAATAAGCAAGTTTCTGGATGGAAATAAATGGTATAAAATACCGACACAGTGGAAATATAAACACATATGCAGTTTAATGTGATCCTTTATTGACAACGTTTCGCCCGCACAGTGGGCTTTTTCATGTCACTTGTGACTTGAAAAAGCCCACTATGTGGGTGGAAACGTTGCCAATAAAGGATCACATTAACCTGCATATGTGTTTATATTTCAAGCAAGTTTCTATTGAAAAATCGGAGCGAGTGTCAATGGGAATTACAATAAAAAAAAGCTCTAAACCTACAATGGTCATGCTGTGCAGCAGGGCGGGGAAAGGGGTGCAGGGTTATTGGGTAGCAAGAGGGAGAGGTATTATTATTAGGTCAGGGGTTTGCAGCAGGGCAGTGCAGGGGTAGAGAGTAGCAAGAGGTTGAGGTAGAAGAGTTGTGAGGAGTGCTAGAGGCATCATCAGAGTTTGTGCAGTAAATCAGTTTCTGTCAAAAAAAAAGTCAATGAGAGAGTCTAAGTTAAAGGAGGGTCCATCAGCAAGAAGGGAAGGTAAAGTAAGGGTATCAGAGCGGCAACGACATTAGAGGTAAATTCTGCGTGCTCGTTGATAGAGTAGGCACTTTGGAGGAGTGTTAATGTTGCAGTTTTATAAACTGTAGTGTAAAACACCTCTCTGGCAAGAGAGTGATGGAGTGAATGATGATGAAAGGTTTTCTTTTTTGGGTCACCCTGCCTTGGTGGGAATCAGCGGACGTGTTAATAAAAAAAACAAATCTTTCTTCTTTCAACGTACCAGCCGTTCCCACTGGGTGGGGTGGCCCAAAAGAAAAAACTGAAGTTTCTCTTTTTAAATTTAGTAATATATACAGGAGAAGGGGTTACTAGCCCCTTGCTCCCGGCATTTTAGTCGCCTCTTACAACACGCATGGCTTAAGGAGGAAGAATTCTGTTCCACTTCCCCATGGAGGATAATAATAGTATAATCAGAGTGCGAAACCCAAAAGGGGAGGTCATACAGCTCTGAAGAATGGGATGTGCTAAAGAAGGAATACGTATATGGAAATCAGCCAATGTGTGTAAGAGTAAGGTTTAGTGAAGGGTTGTGCTAAAGGTAAAATTTAATTTAAGTTGGGCAATAAGCAAGTTTCTGGATGGAAATAAATGGTATAAAATACCGACACAGTGGAAATATAAACACATATGCAGTTTAATGTGATCCTTTATTGACAACGTTTCGCCCGCACAGTGGGCTTTTTCATGTCACTTGTGACTTGAAAAAGCCCACTATGTGGGTGAAACGTTGCCAATAAAGGATCACATTAACCTGCATATGTGTTTATATTTCAAGCAAGTTTCTATTGAAAAATCGGAGCGAGTGTCAATGGGAATTACAATAAAAAAAAGCTCTAAACCTACAATGGTCATGCTGTGCAGCAGGGCAGGGAAGGGTGCAGGGTTATTGGGTAGCAAGAGGGAGAGGTATTATTATTAGGTCATGGGGTGCAGCAGGGCAGTGCAGGGGTAGAGAGTAGCAAGAGGTTGAGGTAGAAGAGTTGTGAGGAGTGCTAGAGGCATCATCAGAGTTTGTGCAGTAAATCAGTTTCTGTCAAAAAAAAGTCAATGAGAGAGTCTAAGTTAAAGGAGGGTCCATCAGCAAGAAGGGAAGGTAAAGTAAGGGTATCAGAGCGGCAACGACATTAGAGGTAAATTCTGCGTGCTCGTTGATAGAGTAGGCAGTCCAAAAGAATATGGCTAACAGAAACTGGAACCTGACAATTCTCACAGAGTGGGAAGGGCACCTCTCCTTGAGATATACATGATTAAGACGAGTGCAGGCAATGCGAAGATGGGAGAGAGTAGTCTCCAAACCTTGAAACTGATGACAAGACGGCCAGAAACCTATACAGTGGACCCCCAGCTTACGATATTTCATTCCAGAATTATGTTCAGGTGCCATTGCTGAACGAATTTGTTCCCATAAGGAATATTGTGAATTAGGTTAGTCCATTTCAGACCCCCAAACACACACGTACAAACAGACTTACATAAATACACTTACATAATTGGGAGCTGATCGATAAAGCGGGGGTCGACTGTACTTGGTTTAATAGAATGTAACTTATTATGTAGCAGGTCAGATCAGCATTGATGCCAATGGGTGCAAAGGTGGGTAGCCAATTACAGCAAAATAGTCTGTGGATGGAACACCTCTATATGAAACTTGGAGGTCATGTACTGCTGATCGCACAGCAGTGTCTGCCTATTCATTGCCCTGTTTGTCAACATGACCGGGGACCCAATAAAAAACAATACCTTTGTGCTTGCTACAGATACGGCGCAACCAAAGTTGGATACAAAGAACCAGAGGATGAGATGTATCAAATTTTCTTATAACCTATAAAGCACTAAGGGAGTCTGAAACTACCACAAATGGTGACAGAGACATAGATGCAATACGGGTAAGTGTTACAAGAATGGCATACAATTCAGCCGTAAAAATGCTAGCCGAGGATAATAAATGCTCTTCCAAGACGCTGTCCGGAAACTGCTGTGAATCTGACGCTGTCAGAAAAGTTGGAGCCATTGGCGTACACTGCGATGGCATGAGAATGAGA